AAGGAATTGTTAGATAAACAATAATAATGAGACGGAAGACAAAAGCTGGCGAAGACAAAGTAAAACCACAATGACTTAAAACGGTGTTTACATGCAAAGTCATTTCTAAGCACATTGAATGCTTTGAGATCATTCCGACATACAATAACAAGTATAAGTGATCCAGGCAACAAGAGTGGCAGTAAGTCTGCATCAGAACATAATTTAGTTTTCAGCCATAATTATTTTCTCATTATAGTAACTATAAAGAAATTTTGTTTCTTCATTTTGGTATAACGAATACACAATGTAAGAAAATTAAGAAAACGTGTGGAAGCTTAAATATAAGAGTAAATATAAGGACTTCGAACAAATTTAAAAAACTCACAATTCAAATCTGCATTTGAAACCGAAAATGTTGAATTTAACTTTTTCAAATTAAAGAGCAAAACACAAGTCAACAGGAGCTTTATGTTAGATAATGAGCCAGAAAAGAATGAACGTATTATTTTTTTTTTTTGTTTGCTCTTTTCTTGTCTTCATAGAAAAAACAAGAAAAAGAGTTAACTTCGCTGCACCGAAGCATTACGAAGTACTCTTGACAAATAAAAAAAAGAACTTCTTACAAGAACTTGATTTTAATCGATCAGTCTAATTTCTACGAAAATTGTAGTAGTGTCCAAGACGTGAAGATATCGCGTCAATTTAAAAAAGTGTTCCTTACAAGTCCTTTACTCCGATGGTTCAGTTTGCACGACAGTTTTATGTTTTAGTAGTCCAATATCAAGGTTTCCGACAAATAAGAAATCTCTTGGAGAGAAATGGATGTGTACAAAATTTCAGATCGATACTTCATATGTCATATACAGGCAGACGGACATGGCTAAATCGACTTATTTGTATTTATCTGACCTTGTTTTCTTGGTGATACAAACTTCGTGGCAAACTTATAATATATCGCGTACAACTTCAATGAGTACCTGGGAAAAAGGTGGTATATGACGTAACTTTCTAAAATACAAACTTTTGTTTACAGTACTTCAATTTCATTCATAATTTAATAATATAATTAAGCAAAAAGTTTGTCAAGAAAATAAATAATGCAATTATGTCTCACATCCTTGATTTTTAATACCCTTGACCCTTACATTAGTTACTAAAAACTGCGGATTTTGCCTACAATAAAATAGTTGTATACAGGAATGTAAGTCTGGGTTGCGATTCTCATTCCTTCTCCTTCCAAGGAAAGGACCGCGCATTTGTTTTCTTTACAAAAGTATTCCGACTCACCACTTCTCAACTTAAATATTTTTCAACTTAAATATTTATCTGCAAATTGTTGTGTCTACTCGCTGGCGGACAGCTTGTTATCGGAAGACTTGTCTGTCTAGCGGCCTGTCTATTCATCCGACAATAGACAAAGGTAGTTCGTATGGGCATAATTTTGCTGATTTACCCACAGATATTATGGGCCGACGCATTTATTCGCATGCAAGCGTTGTACTGCCGCCAATGCTTTGGTTGTACAAATATATAAACACATGTACATACATATGTATGGACACGAGACAGCATCGCGTCATTTATTGTTTAGCCGCAACACGCCAACAATTTCCTGCTGTTGGCATTGCGCCTCACATGCAACGCTGCACACCGACTAACCTATCAACCAACAAATCTGGTTGAAAAACCAACTTAGTAATGCAACCAACGCACCTTCCGCCCCAAGTAAAGCAAAATACGTACATATGTATGTACTTATGTTCCCGTATGTAACACATATTGTTTTACCAACGCCAGCAGCCTCCGTCGGTGTTACACTAGTTCCGACCACGCAGAAGTCACAAAACTGTTCAGCTGCGCTCCGACAGCTGGTATGTAAGGTATACTGCACGTTGTGCAATTCCTCTGGAATTTCCGCCCTTGTATTACAAAAAGCAGCTATCTTATAAAATTCAAAGTCTGTACAATTGGCTGTTCACTCGTTGGTTGTATCATTTTGTATTTCGCCTGCGTCGGGTAAGAATGTGAGAAAAATTGCATAGTGAGAAATAAATATAGTAGAAAAGATTTGACAACGTTTGAACCATATAATTTTTAAACTAAGATAATGCTTCGATTATTCTTTAAAATCATCATTTTACCAGTTATTAATTTTTTTTATATTCTACTAAAGTTGAAATAAAACCATCGTACATATACAGCATACCAAGGTTCTATAATAGCATTTCTATACCCTGAACAGGGTATATTACGTTTGTCACGAAGTTTGTAACACCCAGAAAGAAGTGTGGGAGGCCCTATAAAGTGTCTATATAAATAATCAGTATGCGGAGCGGAGTCGATTTAGCCATGTCCGTCTGTCTGTATATATGCGAACTAGTAATTTTCTCTTCAATAAGCTGCTCATTTGACGGAACTACCGCTATCGAACCAAACTGTCAAACTGTCATAGCAGAAACAGTCAAAACGCAGAATCGTGTCAGCTGATTCGACCTATCTTATGGGCGCGCAATGTAAGTGCCCAGTGAAAAACGCTACTCCCTTCTCTCTTTGACGTCGGATGACGTGAGAATCTACAGCATTTTGGTTTTTGCCGTCTAAACGTGTCAGCTGATTGCTCTCTCACAACCCAGGGTTGCCAATATCTATATACTGTAGTAATTATCAACTTTTATAATTCAATCTGTTCAATATGTTTGAAATTTTCTTAAAATAACTCAAAATTGGAGTCAAATGCTATTATTTATAAATATATAAACTATTTTGTTTCTAATTTTGATATTTTATATTATAAAAATTTGTAATTGAAAACATAGATGTGTACAAAACTATATATGTGTATTGAGCAATGGTAACATTGTGCAAATGAAAACAAACAAAGATGGCTGAATTCTGCGTTTTTGCCACGTTTTTCACTGGGCTCACATTTTGCCGATGAGGAAGGAAAAGGGAGGAAGGCAGTAGCGTTTTTGACTGTTCCTGCTATCATACAAACTGAACGATCGGAATCAAGTTCTTGTATGGGAACTTCCTCATTTGACGATATATCTTTTGGTATGAGAGAAATAATGTAATATAGGAAGAAATTGTTCAGATCGGCTCACTATAGCATATAGCTACCATACAAACTGAACGATCGGAATCGAGTTCTTGTATAGAAAACTTTCACGTTTCACGGAATTGGTTATATATTATTTTCTAAGGCAACAAAGTAATCTCAGGAGAAATTGTTCAGATCGAATCAAGGGCTTGTATGGAAAACTTTCGCATTTGACTTGGTATCTTCACGAAATTTGACATGGATTACTGCTTAAGGTAGCAATATAATCTCCAAAAAAAAAATTGTTCATAACGGATTACTGAAAGAAATGCAACAGTGAAGGCTATATTTACTTCGGTGCAGCCGAAGTTAACGTTTTCTTCTTTTTTTTCAAGCGGGAACACTATATTTTAAAAAGTATTCGACGTTTCCTTCGGGGTATTAAGATTTACTTCACGGTTCAAAGATCAAAATGACAAATGTTTTCGACTTTCAAAGGTCAATCAGTTATAGATCAAACGGTATAAGAACAAGTTGTAATCATTGTTAATCGGTAAAGTGGGACGGTAAGGGTTTAGTTGAACTTTTTGGGTTTCGAGTGAAATTATTTTAATTGTCTACCTCGCACATGATAACACAGGACTATTGTACTCTACAGCTGTACTATTACTGTGTGGCATCGGATGATTGGCCTGGGATAAAAGTTCCACAAAATACATCCGTTCGACATCCATAAATTCTACACGAGAAAACGGGCTTATATACAAATTCCACCAATTTTCGGAGTTGAATCAATCTTGCGACAAATTTTGGATTATTTCTAATTAATTTACTTTTAAATTTGTTGAATAACATATGCGAGTATCAACGCTGTGTATTTTAAATTAAAAAAATAACTGGTTTTTATGGTCTTTGCTTTTTATGAAATATTTATTATTCAATATACTTAGTACAGTTATATTATTTACATTACTAAAGACAAACTTGTTTTTGAAGGAAAAATAAAATTGCACTTCTTTACTGCTGAGTGCTTGACTCTCTGACCTTGAAGTGTCTCAAATGCGATAAATATGTAGTCATATTTTTCTCACTTGTGACGTGCATCACGCATCATTAAAGCAAGCCATGTTTCAACGTATGTAGTGGACATATGTACCATATTTATATTTTCTCACATATCGGGGCGATAAAAAACTTGATTATTTACTTTAGCGAAGGCAATTTCAACATTTGCAGACTCACTTCAAATATAAATTTTGCAAAATATTTTATTGACGGAATGTATATATATATATAATTACATTATAAGTAGTTATATAAATATATTTTATTATGAATAAGTATATACTCATAGTCGCCTAACTGTTGAAAATGGCTATTTAAACGAGTTTAAGGAATAAATTCATGTAAAACCAGTTACCTACTAGCGAATTGCGACAAGTTTAAAAATAAATGTAGAAGTATACATTTATATTTTGTATATATATATACATGTGTTTTTACATAAGGTTATCATATTAAAATAAAATTTAGCAGTAAAAACTAATAACTCGACAAAGGTTGGTATATTATCACCAAGTCCAAAACATTTCAATAAATCGATCAAAATATTTTGCAATTTCAATTTGCCGTAAACATCTTTCAGCATTAAAAATAGTGAAATGATTACTCATCATAAATATACTTTAAAAGATGACACACATGTTATATCTTCCCAGAATCAAAAAGTGTCATTATTTGTATAGTAATTGCAGTAGAGCTTTAAGTAGATATTCTACATATTTGTCTAACCAGTAATAGTAAATTGAAATAGTCGCCTATGACAAACGTAAATTTTTATATTTTTATGGTATAGTTTTTACACAAGTGATAAAGAAATGTACATATGTATGTATTGTATTTTGAATATACGAAGCCTCGATTACACATCTTTTTAAATTCACTCACGTAGTGTTTATTCTCATCTCGCTTTTTTCAGGTAAGAATTGCCAGGCGTAGCGTCAAAGCGGTAAAATTTCCTCATGAACGCAAATCGGCTTTTATTTGGATTAGTCACCATAAAGCGTATGTGAATAAATCTCATAAAATTATACCTACATACATATGCATATAGAATTTTATGTATACATATATTAATTTCCTACCTATATAATAATATATGCAAGCACATACGCAGTGCTGTGAGGCTTGTAGTTTTTGCAGTTGAAAGTCAAGAATTGAGCTTATATGAAGAAATATGAATGCCTAACATTAATAGCCCTGAAGCAGCACTTATATTTTTTAGGCTTGTTCAACAAGAATTCGTCATTATCTGAAATAAGGTGTGTCACCACGCAATCCTATATAAAGCTGCTTACGGTAAGACAAATAATCACTATTTACTGAATCAAAAGAGTTCGAACACGTATTAAGAAGTAGATAGGAGAGCAGCTCAGGTTCGAGAAACTTGTGCTTTGATTCCCTTATTTTAAAATGGTCTTATTATCAATCGGTATCGATATACGTAACTCCATAACTTAGATACAATATGTACATACATATTTAGTATGTATTAACGAAACTAATATTCCCTTGGAAAAACCTACTGAATCTAAGCTAATTCAACATGATTGACATATTAATTTACAACATAATACAATGCAACAACAAGCAAAAGAAAGTGCTAAGTTCGGGACAATATAATACAGGGGCTAAAATGCCTGTGGTCTAGCAATTCGGCCTAACTTTGGTCTTGACCACCAGCGATCTAATAAGGCACAATAATACTGTTTATGCGGCTTTCACAGGGAAGCAGCCATTATGCAGACTGCCAATTGGACTCAGGTGGGCACTGATCTCTTGTCACAAAAAGGTACATACAGTCGTACTTATTGCGCTTGATAAGGCTTTTCAAAATACGCGGTAACCCTCGAATGCAAATCTTTTTCGTTTGAAAGTGATTTGTGAATAATTTTACCAATGCGTTCCTTTGAACGAATGAACTAACTCACTCAACTTCATTTAAAGCAGTTTGTGAACTTACGTGCTGTTTCCGTTTTCGGTTGAATGTGCTTCCAAGAGTTTAAACCTTGACCCAAACGCGGGACAGGCAAGAAGGAAGTGCTGTCAAGAAGGAAGTGCTGAGATATTTCCACTTCGTTTTCTTCCATAAAGCTACTTCAAATGGCATCTTGTACGATTATCAACCTTACACCATGGACGCCAATAGGCCAAGGCCCAGGTAAAAGCCCCACAACTAGACCTCCTGTGATCAATCTTAGTCCAAAACGCTTTAGCGACAGCGCATATGCCGGTGGTGGCTCAGTGCTGGACGAGATTATGCGAAGCCTAGCTACTTGTCTAGTAGCAGAACACAAGAGGATACGGGAGCACCGACCTGCTCCCAGCGGGTTTGCAATTTCCTGCGCCAGGCATTCATACCAGTCTTTTCACAAAGACACTCTATAGTACCGACAGGAGGTTAGGCACCCCTCGACCGACCCTAAACACACTGTAAGTTCCAGACTAGTCTCGCCGAGCTATCAATTGAATGCTCACTTCTGTGTAGTAAACTGCACTCCGGAGCAGCAAATCTGCTACTACCTTAATCGCTGCAAACTCGGCTTGGAAAACACTGCAGGAAGTCTGAAGATCTGATAGAGATCTCCTGACAGTAAGCCCCTCCACTAACATTCTCCCCAAACTTTGACCCATCTGTACAGAAGTTCACTCTTCCTCTTCAACGGCTTCTTCTCACCCATAACTCCCTCGTCGGGAAAAAAAGGAGCCACCAGAGTTCGGTTATAGAATATAAAAGAAGTTTATTAAATTATGTCTGGCTTATTCTATTTCTTGATGTATATGTTGCGAAACACTCTTAAGGAGTACCACATTTCCAACCTCCGTACTATCTTTAGAGATAAAAGTTTACAGTGTGTGGTGTATTCAAAATTTCTATTTCTATTTGCCCTTCGATATCCGGATACCATTTTACATATCAGACCTAGAATATTTACGTTAAGCGCTGTTAATCAGTTATAGAAAAGCTTATATATATGTATATATATAAATGCCTCATGAATATCATGGCGAATATAAGGTATATATTTTACTTTATGAATGAAGTGGTTAAACCAGTAATGGCAGATTTCTAAGCACACTTTTGCAGACGGCTTTATATATAAGGTTAGTATTTGCGCCTGCCATATACGGCTTTCACGCTCACATTTGTGCATCAGAGTGCAATTAATATAAGGAAACCTGCCAGCTGACATAACAACTTTCGTGCTGCTTAAAGTGCAAGTAAAAGCAAAATGCAACGGTCTCAAGTGGTCAGACGGTATAACCGTTAGGCGCTTACGTGCTAAAATCATATTAGTTCAATAACGCATAAACCGCTTTCACTGTTTACAAATGCAAGTGATTCCAACGGTGCAATATGGGCATAAATTGCGCTTGAAGCATTTCTTGTAAACAAAACTTAGACAATATTAGCAATATATAACTTAAATATGTCGGATCGGCTATGGTTCACTTTGCAGGCACCTTTTGTCTACCAGCCAAATTGTGGTAATAGGGATGGTTCGCTTAGAAAGAAATGTAATTTAAAACAGTTAACTTCGAGAGCTATATTTATCCTACCGAACTTCCAACCTAAGTTACTGAGTCTTTGATGAAACATCAATTTCTTCAACTTTCAATTGGGCCGTTTTCCACGACTTCATTTTTCACATGTTTCAGTCGACCAAACAACAATATCGTTTAAGATGTTTATAAAGAATTATGTGAATTGGACCTCATAAAATACATTTTATGTTGAAGAAACCAAACAATAATGATCACTATTTCAAAGAAGTCGATTGGCAAAGAAGTCGATTGGCCTTAGGGATCTCTCACTATTAATAATGACACATTAGATGTAACTAAATCTAACTAGTTGCTAGAGTGATTTATGAGTAAGATATTTTGCGAACGGAACGTATTCTTTGACGGAATATATCTTTAAAACAATTGAGTTTCGTGTAAAGCAAGTCATTCCATATATTCATATGTACATATATATGTATACATAGTTGTCTGTGGACTAAAGCGCTAACAACTTAATTGTCAGATGCCTAGCTACTTGTAGAACGGTGAAGCTTGTGTTTTTTTTTTTTTTTTTTTTTTTTTTTTTTTTTTTTTTTTTTTTTTTTTTTTTTTTTTTTTTTTTTTTTTTTTTTTTTTTTCACAAACCTGATGAGGGACGATGAAACTTAATTGCGGTCCCACTACCAACTACATGCTGATAGAAACAGATATTTCGCAGTGGTAGGAAGATATTTAAGAGTATGTTATCGCAAAAGTATGCCATTGAAAATCTGTTACTTCTATTATAGAATGTTGTAAATTTTTTTTATCAAAAATATAAATATTCGTATATTCGATTCATTTAAATGAATATGTATGTTAATGATATATTAACTTCCTGTCCGCTTCAGCTGCCAAACCGATTATACCGTGGCTTTGTGCTCAATTTCTTGAAGGTACATTGACCTCTTCTTTCAAAATTAATATGTAATTCTACATTTCAGAGAACTAATACAATACACAGGTACACCAACCGCCATTTCTTTTGTTTTGTATGTAAATACATACACATACAGTTTGCTCTGCTAAAATATTTTATATGCATATGTGAAATTAAAATATGTTAGGAATACATAATGTTATCATATATATATTATACTTACATACATATGGATGTCTTTCTCGCTTCTCAACTACCAGATATTTTTGTTTCCTATGCATTGATTTCTTTAAATAAGTAAATATATAAGGCAAAGTACAATTCTTATAAACAAAGAAGTATTAAAGATGAAAGTTTGTTTTGTTCTAAGTGGAACACTTATTAAAATGACAGATTAAAAACATCTAATATATGGCTATATGAGCACATTATCTTTGTTCATGCATTTTCTATTATTATTAGGGCTAAATTACAAATCTATATGCATTTCTCAGCTTGATATTTCTAAAAAAAAAAATTTTAAATTTTTTAGTTATCCTACTAGTTTTTGTTTGATTGTGGAATGTTTTAGCTTGAAGAAGTGATGTAATTAACGCAAAAAAACCTCTCTAAAACTTCAAACATTCAACTCCTCAGTTTTCATTGTCTTTCGTGGTCTTTTGGTTTTCAAACTAGTACATACCACGTGTCGGCGGTACAAAGAGCATGCCTACAAAGGTGGAATTAATCAGAGTGACTGCTGTAAGAATTCGTTTTCAGTACTGTCAAAACACACAAATGGCCGTGTGCCCGATAATCAGCGGTGGACCACTAATTACGGCAATCAACGCCAACACTCAGTTTTATGTGGCAACATCATTGCTCCTTTGCGTTAATACTTTTTAGCTTTAGCGTTATTTCGTTCTTCATCACTTATGTACTTTATATGTATACGAGGTTGTTACTTAAAATTCTACTTCGGCTTTAAGCTTGAAACCATTTGTTTGTGCCAAAATCAGCACGGCTAATAATCAGAGAGACAGACAGTTTGACACACGTCAGAAGCACATGAGTACAGCATGTGAGAAGCAGCAGCAGCTTATAGGCGGCATGAACTGCTGTTTGGATATGCATGGTGACAGCGCAGGCAGGCGAGACTTAGAGCCATACGAGAAGTAATGATTAATCATTTTTGCTTTGCTCAGTATTTTAAAACATTTTTTCCGTCGGCTAAATGCTAATTTGGCATGATGATGTCAGTACCATGCGACTTGGTTGCAATATTCACTGAATTGTTGAAAGAGGGCACTAACAGTTGCAAATTAAAGTTAAAAATTGCTCTTCCAATATATCTACATGTTTAAAAAATGCTTATCGTTAAAAATTTACAGACTTACCGAAGGCAAGCAATGAAGCTCCAAATTAGCGCGCGCCAATCATAGAAGTACAACATAACTGTTCTTGCTTTGGAAATACTATATATACATAAAATCCGATAACTTGCTGCAGTGTGCTCTCATAGCTCTATTAAATTAAGTGGAGGATGAATTGATGATGAGTTGATATATCTTAGTGCAGCTTGGTACAAATATCCCTTTTA